TACAGACGGAAGTAATATGAGATGTCTGGGACAAGTGCTTCGTCTCTCATCTCCGATCCATTCCAACAGTCATTTCTCAACTCATTTCCCATCCAGTCGCGTAGACGGTTAGGATTCCCAATCCGATCAGTCCTCTTCCTTTAGGAGTATAGGCTCAGTTGGCTCACCCAGCTTCAGCCTCTCTGACTCTTCCTCTGTCAATAGTGTGACATGGTGGTCAGCCACACACCTACAGAACACAGCACAGCATTATTCCAGCATGCCCATACCCGTAACAGCGAGCCGCCGCCGGGATTTCGCAACCGAGAAGGGGGAGAAACCCCAGGGCTCTGTTTTAGGATCCCGTCTCTCTCTCGGCTCCCCTTAGCCTCTAGGTAGTACTACTGTAGTATGTCCCCAATTAAAATCAAGAACAGACTGACGATCAGCATCCGAAAGCCGAGTCAGACCACACCATCCACCATTTTTTCAACTTTTCGGCTCACTGGCTTTCAATGGACAAAACACAAGGGGAGGGGCCAAGCGAACGGCCCTGGATCGACGTTGCTCTCGGTTGTGAGACTCCTTCTGATTCTCAAATCCACTGTTCCCAGTGGTCAGTCCCATCCCCCGGAACAAAATACTTCTGTGCGGCGCGCGCCCTGCTGACTGACCACGCTTAATTTTGATCCGTAGGCCGAATACCTCGCTGAGGCTCGCTCTCGTGAGTCTCGTCTCTCGTCTCGTCTCGTCTCCCCATATGATGGAATAGTAGTACACGTCAACGTAGCATTGCAGACACGGGACGCGAGATCTAAATTTGTACAAACAAGAGAGTTAATCCGTGTTTCTTGAACCATGTCGATACTTAGTAATAATACATCTTGCGTGTGGTGTGTTTTTTGAGTTTGGAATACAGAGAACCACCCCGTCTGACACAAACACGTCGAGTCTGTAGTTAGCCGCAGCCCGAACGTCGTCTCGTCGCATCGTCCTGTTATACCCGCCGTCTCATTAGCTTTTTAGGTATCCTCTACGTCTGACACTGAACCGTGAAGGGAGTGTATCTTGTACAAATATGCGAAACCAACGCCTGCCGGAACCCGTTATATCCCAGCCCATACCACCAAATTCATCATGCCGCTTTCTCCTACGTCATGATCACAATAGCAAAATAGTCACATACGCCCAGAACACCTTGCCTTTATATCATCAAGCCATACCGTCTGTCATCTTTTAGGTGGAGAGCCAGTCAAGGAACTCGGGAGTGAAGTAGCTGATGACAATGGTCGCACCAGCTCTCAGGATACCCTCGGTCGACTCGAAAGCCATCGCCTTCAAGTCGAAAACGCCAGATTTGGCCGCCGCGTGGATCATGGCAAACTCGCCACTGACCTGGTACGCGGCGACAGGCATGTCCTTGCCAAGCTCCTTTGCGTCGCTGATGATGTCGAGATACTGGCTGGCGGGCTTAACCATGATGATGTCAGCACCCTCGCCAATATCACGGACGATTGCGCGGCGGGCCAAGCCACGTCCGCCCGGGGGCAGCTGGTAGCACTTGCGGTCGCCGAATGACGGGGCAGAGCCTGCCGCGTCACGGAACGGACCGTACAAGCAGCCCGAGAACTTGGCCGAGTATGACATAAGCACCGTCTTGTGAGCGATGCCCTCCTCGATCAGCTTCAGCTTGATGGCACGGATACGACCGTCGTTCATGTCCGAGGGAGCGACGCAGTGGGCGCCGGCCACCGCGTAAGCAATGGCAACGTCGGAAATGCGGTCAACGGACAGCTGGTTGTTCAAGCTGCCGTCGTCACGAAGGATACCGCAGTGGCCGTGGGAAGTGTACTCGCACAGGCAGACATCGGCGCAGATGAAAAGCTGAGGGAAACGCTGGCGGATGGCGCGAATGCTTCTGATAACAGGTCCCTCTGGGTCGTCGGCGGCGGTGCCAAGAGCGTCCTTGGTCCCCGGGCGCACGGGCACACCGAAGAGCATCACGGAGCGCAGACCCTTGCGCACAAGCACCTCCAGCCAGGCCATTGTTTTGTTGATGCCTCGGCGATATTGGCCGGGCAAAGAGGGAATGAGGATCTCCTCGTCGTCTTGGTCGGAAATGAAGAGAGGGTAGATGAGCATGGACTGAAGAGAATTCAAATCAGCAATGGTTTATGGATGACGAAACGGCGTTATGCCTCAAAAGGCAGGACTCACCTTGGTCAACTGTCTCTCGGCTTGCCACGAGCGGGCAAGGGGGTGGAAGTAGCCGCCGTGCAGCTGGCTGGAAATGTCGCCAGAGATGCTGACGCTCGTCGCCGCTGTGCTGGCGTAGGACATGGCGCGGGAAACTTGCGACCGGCCATCGTCAATGGTAGAGACTGATTGAGGGCCGCGGGGTCGGCGCGGAACGCCGGACTCCCTCATGGTAAGATCCTGAACAAGGCTGGAGAAGGACATGTTGTATTACGGCGTTGTTGAAATGTATTGCAGCTTTGAGTACTGAATGAGGGGTTGAGTCGATGGGAGGAAGTGGCGAACAGTGATCGGATTGCGAACAAGCAAAGGGGTCGCGGGAGTCGCAATAGTAGATTCGTGGTGGTTAAGCACTTTTCTTTCGCCCGACGGGTGTCGTCAGGAGTTCAATTCGGCGGAAGGGATTAACGGCGACGAGAACGACGTTATCTGAAAAGAGATGACTCGGAAGGTTTGAGACTGAAGATGGGAGAAATACGACGGTTGAGGTGGCACAGGAGGGAGGTCAAAAGGGTTCGCTGCGCCAGAAAGTTGACGGGATTTGAAACGGACCAGCTTTCCCTTCCCGCTTTGGCAGGCACGGCTGGGACTCGGCAGGAGACGGAGTTGAGCGTGGAACCTTCCTGCCAAGCCGTTCTGGAAATGGACCAATGGTATTGCGCATTGGAACTGCTGACAGACCAATCACGGTCCAATCTTTTCCAATTGGCCCTCTCCGGTGGCGGCGTCTCCGCTTCAAACGGGACCCTCCTCTCGCATTTTCCGATGTCCGCGTGCGTTCCAACGGCGAAACCGAGCATGTTGTGCCCGTAAGCCGGTCAGCAACTTTCTTTTGCATCCATGAGGGCTGACTAAGATGATCGAGATGGTCAGAAACCTCGGCTGCCGAATTGTTTGCCTTGCATATTTGTTTGCTTGCAGCAATCTGTATCTACCTCTACCGTTATTCCGAACCGCTGTCTCCTTTCCGAGACATGCTCTGTTAGAAAATTTCCTCCCCTGGCCCGCTGCCCATGTAACGGCAAAAGGCGAAGGGCTGGGCACAAACCTCTCCTCGAGGGATCCAGATCCCAACACCGAGATGCTCCGAGCATCTCCGCAGGTGGCTACGGCTGGCTGCAGGCCCGTTGCTCCCCCGGTGCCCCTCCTAAGCTTCCGTCCCGTAGTTCGCCCCATCCAGAACGTTCACCGGTCAAAACGGCTGCCCGCAGGCCCCGTCGCCGGCCACAGTACACTCCGGTGATGCTCGGAGGGAGCCGAATTCAATATTCATCTTTGGACTTTCTCTTCGCTTGCCAAATGTGATAGTATTGGATAATTGATTTAATTATAAACAACCATACAAAACCTCCCTATGGAATTTCTACGGATCAATGGAATATGCTATTTGGCCTCTGCTTCATGTTTCCCCCTTTCCTGTTAGGCTACATCGAGCCAGCGCTTATGAGGTTGAAGCTGGATCCTCCTGATCTCTTTGCTATAATGTGGACAATTCTCCAAGAATCACATCAACATCCCAGCGAAGTTGTACTCCACCTGGCCAAGCCATGTTACGCCCCATCGTCTTATGGTTCAGCTTGATCCCATGGCTATGCTCTTCCTAATGCGAAGCGCCATCTCCGTGTCTAGACAGAGTTACCGATGCCCTGATGTGTTTGTGCTTTCGGGCCGGGAATTCTAGATAATGACTCTGCGTAGTCCCAGTTTCCTGCTTTTCTTCAGCGCAACAACCAGCCACGGCGTTCTCATGTCTTGAGGTAAATCTCCGCCACAGCCACGGTCCATGATGTTTACCAGCATGACACACAATCGAGATCTCCAAAAGGTTTCTTTGAGATTGTTTCGAGGCCATCCGAGTACCTTTGCTGTTTCCCTGGACGGCATGCTGCAAGCCCTTTTGAATGAGGACTTTGTTGGGCCTCGCCCCTCAACCCAAGACTGCAAGATGACAACTCCGGATGGTACAAGTCAGGCGCTTTCAGGGGCACTCAGGTTCACACCCAGACAAAGCCACTGAGTCCATCTTTCGTGAGCTCTTTCAAACTGCGGCCTGGATTCGCCCCTCCAAGCCGCAGACTGAGTTATCGTCACCCGAGGTTTCCAGTGCAAGTCACAAGTCACCCGGGGGCCGCGCCCGAGTCTCCGCTCTTATCCCTCCTTGGAACAACCAAACGCCGAACGAAACATAGGGCTTATCTCGGAGGCTCGAAACAGGAAGCCACGACGGTGGGCTTGGTGTTGAGAGGAGGAACGTCCGAACCTTCCCACGGAAAAACCTATTCAGTTGGAAGGGCGGTCTCGGTTCGCTCGCTTCTTTCTTTTCCTCTTCCGCACCTCACCATCGTGTCCCCCACGTTCGCTCCCCACGATCCCCCAAATTCCTCAGAAGCAATCGCAACTATCAACCCGGTCGCCTGTTGCTGGCTTTAGCAGCAGTAGATCTCAAGAAAAGAACTTCAATCCCGTTGCAAGGTATTTCGGATTCAGACGAAGCGCTGTGTCCCGAGGTCGTTCTCTGATTGCCATCAGTACCATCTGAAGCACTCCACGTTCGTCAGCTTTGGCTCGTCAGCATCGAGCACTTGGAAAGAAATATTCCAGGCTGGCTAATCACTCACCGTACAGCTTCGCAGCATCAAGAACCTCAGCAACCTTCGCTTCGTCGTTTTGTCGTTGACTTTCTCTCTTCCCCTAGGACGTTCGGCGTCCTATTCACTCCTTTCTCCCAGTCAAAAGACGCCTCATGTACGATGAAGAAAAAATCCATGAGCACCCTCGCCAATCTGGCGCCACGTCGTCGTGGAAAGGGTAACAAGAAGGAAGAGAAAAAGGAAACTCAAGGTAAGTGACAGTTTTCTCGTCTCGTTCGGTACCAGCTGACACTTGGAACAGCTCCAGTTACTCCTTCGCTGCCTGCGAACCGAAGCGGTCCCGCCCATACCTTCAGCTACCCTGATCCAGGCGGCAGCATGGATCAAAATGTCGACCGCTTGGCCAACGACTTGCTGGAGAGCACCATATATCATCATCCAAACGGTTTGCGCAGTCATCCATCCGTTCTTCTCTGTGGAACTGAACCGATGGGTATCGCACCTATGATCTCTCCTTATGTGCAACCCACGGCGCCCTCGACGTACCGAATTGTCAACCTTCCATCGGAGGATTTTTCCGTTCATTGCCAGTCTGACATCCAAGTTGCGGGAATCGACGAGGTTGCTCCGGCTATCCCTGCAAAGTCCTCACGACGCCAATGTGGTACGCAGGAGAAGAACGTCGATGGCTTCGTCGACCCCGAGAATCGTCCTGCGATTCTCAACTTCCCGCATTCCAAGACCACGATGCTTGACCCCGGCAATAGACATCCTCTGTTCCTGCCTTCCTCTACAACGGTCCCACTCTCATACGGCGGATGCGATGACGGGGATGATTTCTCACGGACTGCTGTCGCCGAGGCTCTTGCTGCCCGGGCCGCCGTCGAAGAGGCTGCTCGCATTCAGGCTATCAGCGGCCAGGTTTCTACCGAAGAGGATATTGACGCCGAGGATATTCCCGTCCAGAACGTTCTCGCCCAAGCTCTGGGTCCAGAGAATGATCCTAGATCAGGCTTGATCGACCCCGACTTGGTCGATATGAAGACCGATGCAATGCTGGCTGCGACTCAAATCCTGAAGCCTCCCGGTTCGGAGAAACCCAAACTTCCTCCATCAAAGACTTCCTTATTTCGTCGCCACAAGGTTGTCTCCAAGGTTCGCCACGTATTCGAATCCATCCTGCCTAAGCCTGCAACGCCAGAATCGAAGATCAGGGGTAAGATCTCGGCGCCCATTGGTTTGACCACGTGCGATCTGCCCAACCCTGCGGCGCACTATCACCTCGAGGAAATCGAAGTCGAAGAGACATCTATCGTCAGCTCTATCGAGCTTCGTCTCAACGAATGCAACAACCTGCACAGCCACAAGGTTCAGAGCATCGTCGGAGATCGCATCGTTCGCAAGGCCGTGGCTGATGACGAAAGCTCGGTTTGCGGCAGCGATTCACCGGAAGATCCCTTCTCGGGAGAGTTTGAAGTCGCAAATCGGCCTCCAACTCCTTTTGAGCATCGCCTCAAGAGTAGCCTTGACTCTACTGGTGTCCCTCCGGTTCCGTTCCTGAACCCTTTCGATAATGAGAAGGACTTCGATGCCGACCTCGAAGGAATCTTGTCTGAGAAGCCCGTCTGTGCTTCAACCCCGCGTCGACCCGACCGGAAGGCAGCCTCCGGGGAAAGCCCCTCTAAGCGGTATGTAAAGGCTGACGACCGTCATCTTGCCTTGAACAACGATACTGAGGGAGGCCCTAGTGCTCCCGGCCCTACCCCGAAAAAGTTGAGGCTGTCGGGCGGCTGGAGACTCTTCCGTGATCAGCCTGAGCCTAGCACCAAGAAACACCCGTCGCCCAGCAAGCAGGACCTGGAAGTCCTCGAAGATCGACTCCGCGATATGGTCATTGATAAAATGGAGCAGGAGCCTGAACAGCGGCCAGAACTGGAGGCCAAGTGGGAAGGCGTCCTCGCACCGGCTGCCCTGGGCCGCAAGGATGTGAACGCTGCGTTGATGTCGAGCGAGGGCAAGCAGCCTGTCGCAAAGCCTACTGTCGTTATCGGCGAGGCTAGCGCAGTCTCACTACGTCGATACAATCGCGAAGAGTTCACCCGTATCACGACGGCTGGTTCCCGAATCCCTCGTCCCTCTCCTCGGTATACCTCGTACACTCGTCCTTCGAACTTCGATGCGCTGGATATTGACGAGTTGCAGTAGGATGTGACCGTATATGCTCCGAGACGTCGTCGCTTCTAGGGCTCGGTCGCGAGATTTTGATGAGTCTGAAAAAATTGGATCATCTTTGGCGGCACCACTTAGGTGTCTGTTCCATCGGTTCTTTGCCTGCGGTTGTTCTAGGAAGTTCGCCCGAGGACCACCAAAATCAAAGATCTGGTATCGTTGCTGACTTCCACAAGCTTCCACAGCTGGCTTCAACAATTTGGAGACGGCTCGCCGGGTTCTTTTCTGGAATTTGGAAGCGCCAATTCGGCAAAGCTGTTGAGTATTTCCGCGGCCAAACATTGAGATGGTACAACAAAGTCACCTATATTCGTTGATTGGCCCGCCACAAATTTGTGTAAGTTATTGTTGTCTCCTAAAATTCGCTAGCTCATGTCCTGCAGAAGAATACATCCAATTTCGACTTGGACTGCTTTTCGGATTCGGCTGCACATTTTTTCCTTTTTCATGAGATTCGAGGAAATCATCAGGTCTCCAGTACTCACAAGCACCACTGAGCAACATTAATACAAGTCCTACGGCCTTCCTTACTAGGTCTAGGCAATCGGTTGCTATGCGAATTTGAGTAACAACAATTCGTGGACCACTTTTCCTACGACAGGACAACAGAACAACTCTTCTCTTTCAGACTGTGCCACTTTGCGACCCTACCCGACCCTGGGAGAAATCGGATGAACTGAACATCAGTAAACCGCAACAAGATTCTCCCATTCGCCGAATTGCATACAAATGCCACCATGGAGGACAGATGTCACATTGGGAGGATAGTAAATGGTGTAATTGGAGGCTAGGGGGAAGGAAGCTCAGATAGATAGTCACAATTCAAATCGTTTCAAAGTTACCAAGTGATGTGTCACAATCTTCTCAATATCAAGTGAATAGGGTAGTTTGCTTTAGTTTGTTTATTTCACATCGTAACACAGACATGGTATCTATAAACCAAATCGCTTTCAACAGTACTAGTACAGTAGGTATCCAAAATCCATCATAATCCATACACATAAGAGACTCGCTTGTTGGTATCTATCGAAGAATGTAGCGATAGTGGGGTATCTTGTTTATGCCGCTACGCACACGCTTAGTACCGGTGGGCGCGGTGCGAGCCGCGACCGTCGGTGCCGTGCATGCGGCGGGTGCCGGCGGCCTTTTGACCGGGGCGACGGGTCAAGGTGCCCTTGAGCTTGAGCATGGCACCGGAGATTTTGTCGCCCATGGAGGGCTTGCGGCGCTGGTGGTGGACGGGGGCCGTGTGAACGACGGGGCCGCGGCGGCGGGAGAAGAGACCGCCGCCTCCGCGCTTGGTGGTTCTGGTGGTCTTTGTGGTGGTGTGGTGGTGGGTTGTGTGGGCAGGCGCGCGGCGGCGAGAGAAGATGCTGCGGCGAGGGGCGGCGGTGGTGGTGGTGTGGCGGGTGGATCTGAGAGGCATGATTGCGGTTTTTTGGGGGGGGTTTGAAGATGTTGTTGAAGTGGTTTTGGTTGTTTGGGTGATGGGGTAAGACTTGAAGTCTTTTGGTTGTTGTTTGTCTGAATTGGTTTGTTTGGTTGGTAGCTTGATGCTGATGATGAGAGAAGAGAGAGTTGATGTAAGTGGGTTTGGAGGGTGGTTTATATGCTTTCTTGATGGTTCTATTCAGGGTCGCGGTTTTGGAGGGTGATCAGCTACGCAGTAATTCTGTTCCAAGTCAGATGGCGTATGTTGGTAAGGTTGTGTGATTTGGGCATGTCATCATCGCGGGGTGGGAGGTTCGTGAATAGAACAGGGGGGGTTGGTTTGGGTTGGGTCTTGCGGGATCAGGGCCCCGGGAGAGGGGATGATGTCAGGGTCCAGGGGATCTACAATTTGTATGCGTGTGTGTGTGTCTGGTCTCTAGTCTTGGTTCTCTATGTCTCTCCAATACGCAGTACATACTGCGCCAACGGCGACAAGGCTATCTCTCTTTTCGTATGAACAGCATTGGTGTGTGGCATCCTTTGGTGGGATTGATGCGCAAAGGGTCCGAAACCTGCGTCTTGGTTCCACACTTTGGACCCTATTTTCGTTTCGTGACCCTCTCCCTCTGACGACAAAAGGAAGATGGGCAAAACGTAAGGAGGGGAGAGGTGGGAGGGTGTTGTCGGACCCTGATTGTGGGAAAGGGGTGACGTCCCTTGCAGTTCATTCCCATCGGGTAGGAGGACTGGACACGGGGTACATTCAGACATTGTTACGTAGGAGCCAGGCAGGCTGTATCCAAACATGGGTGATTGGAAATGGCCAAGGCTGGCCAGAACAGCAACTTTGGGGGGGGGGGGGGGGAAGAGCTCAAAGTGAATTTGCTCTCCGTTTGTTGCGAACCTGCGACTGCAAGGTGAGGTCAAGGTGAGCGTCCAGCCCCAAGCCCATCAGCCCAAAAATCAAGTTTTGGAGGGTCCTGTGGCTGGTGACGTCGAGTTGCGGTCGAGGGAAGGAAGCCCATTGGGTCCAGCCTCATACCCTTGTCTCTTTGCCCCGGAGCGACGCGCTTGCGCCAGAGGACTAGGATTGTGGATTCCGCCAATTAGAGTTGTGGCACGGGCAAAGGTGTGGCTGGCCGGGTCAATCAAGGCACCTTAGGTACCTTATGATGTCATGCGCAACGGGCGGTTCGTAACCCAGCAGACAGATGTGGCTTGTCATACCTTTACGGACAGGTCTGGGCCCAAACGGTTCCCTTCAGTTTCTTGTTTTCTCCCCCCGGTTAATGATCAAAACGTACCTTAGATAGATAGACTGGCTGACTGGACGGTCTGACCTTCCCTCTTTGTGTCTATCACACTGGCTGATCTCGAAGATTAGTGTATTGTTGGACGCATCGGTCGTTGGTGTGAGAAAAGTTGCAATGGGGGAGGGAAGGGATGGCACGGGGCATTTGCGGCCGCTGACGACGGTTTGACTGGGTACTCTCTAAGACTTTCAATCATTCGACGTCAGTTTTTGCGGGTTCAAGACCTCTCTGGGCCTCTTGTTTGGCCACGGACTCGACTCTACCGAGCGAGGTCAAGAGAATCCTCTCGGGTCTGGACTGAGATGGAACGCAATATCACTGAGGGGAAATGACATCGCTGGTGGTCTTGGGACGGTGATCCCCTTGATGGTGCATTTTGTCCGGTCGTCAGACGTACGGCTCCTTATCGCCCATGTGTCAGATCTTCAGGCCAAGGAAGGTAATGATGTTGGTGAAGCAGAGATCAAATGTTTGAAGCGCGGAAAGCGATGTTGTCGAGGCGCCCACGGAGCCGCTCTCCCCAAGCCTTGTCCAGGTCGTCCTGCCACTTTGCGTGTACAAAGATTCGTTGCCATGCTTTCCGGGAAATCTTATCCTCATCAATGCCCGAGTACTTCTGTCGATAACGTATGCAGCCAAGTAGTATGTGGCTTGGAAATGTTGGCTTCTACCACCGCAGCGAGGGCCGCAGCGAGTGCGGTGAAAGAGAGCAGCTCCATACTGAGCATTCATAGTTGATATGAGATTGTTACGCAGGCCATTCTTCTGATGTGGCTATTGGTGGAGGTAAGATGAGTGCTCGAAGCTTGTGGTTTCTGTCAGTTCGGGATAGCCTTCACACTTCGATCTGCAATGATTAAAGGGGTTGGATCAGTGGAACTGCTGCTTACTCCCCTGCGCGAGAACGACCCAGCCAAGCGGTATTGCTTTCTTTACATCGAGGACATCACCATCGAGGTGGCTGGCCGCGCCACTGAACCGTCAGAGATTGATTGCATGTTTGATGGCTCGAGAAACCTCGAACAGCACATGGTTGCCGTCGGTTCATTCAACTTAATGATCAAACCACTCCGACAACCAACACTGTCCAAGATGATGCCGTCTAGTCTCCACGCCCAGAAAGGTTATTTTTGATCCTAGCCAAGTCGTCGCTCGAAAACCCCAGAGCCCCGACGACGTATCCCTCCCAGCCGCCATGCGCTTCCTGCAATGCCGCGATAAACGCGTCCCAGCACGACGCCCGCAGGCTGCACAGGTTGTAGAAGCCCGGGTGTTGTTCGAAAGCGAGGCTACCGCCGCCGGCGCGAGCCTGCTGGAGGAGCCGCTCCCTCGCTGTCTCAGTGCCGATGCGCGAGAGCATGTAGTCGAATCGGATGTCTTCGGGCGCTGTGCCTGCGAGAGATTGTAGGAGACCTGCCATCACGCCGGTGCGGTCTCTTCCAGCTGTAAGGGTTTTCCCGTGTCAGTTGGGCTTGGCTGGCTACGCCGTACAGTTTGTGGCCCTTTTCCCGTTGTGATGTCCAATCAGGTAGACATACCGGTGCAGTGAAAGAGAAAGGGTTCCTCGGGCTTGTCACGCACATGCTCCAAGATGGCTCGGTAGATGGGCCGGTACAAGTCAAGGACCTTGAGGTACTCCTTACGGAGTCCAACTTCGCCCCCAGCTTCGACGAAATCGTTCAGGTCAGGTGGGGTGTGGGCGCCCGCGCTTTCGAGCCATGTGTTTGTGACCCCTACGACGTCTGGATCGGGATGCTTCTCACGTTCCGCAGACTTACGAACGTCAAAGACCCGCTTCACGTTTGCGGCCAGCCACTTGAGCGCCTGTGGGTTTTGGTTGGCGACTTCGAGCATGCCGCAGCGGTATACGAGACCTGGACGGACGCCGGAGCCGGGCACAGCGCCGAGGTCGCGGATATTGATGAGCTCGGGGACGGGGACGAAGGGCGGCGTGCTCAAGGCCTGCTGTAAGAGTTTGGAGGGGATGGGATCTTGGATGTCTCTCTCCGTGAGAGCTTCTAGCTGGTCTCGGGTCATTGACATTTTGGCGATGAACAAAGTTTTTTCAATGTTGGAAGAGGAATGAGAATATTGGCAGTATCGCATTTGGGTATCTTAAAGGAGGAGGAAACTATCTTTTGAGGCGAATGTCTGTTGTTGGCGGTGAGGCAGACGGGAGCCTGGGGCAGGCAACATCTGCGCCCTTCAATCATTGAATGGTGGTTGTTGGAGTATACATTTTGGAGTTGGAAGCAGTCCTCTGTAAGACGCGGACAAATGTAGCCCGGTCCCGTTGAGATAAGCTTCTTGAAGATTTCTAGCGACAGGAGCTAGTATTCGTTCCACGAAACCGCCATGTGGCGCCAAGCCCCGAATATTGAGATATATTGATATTGCCGTTTGCGGACTCGGTATGATAACGGCTCAACGTTCTGTGTAGCGGGAGCGATTTTGCAGCAATGAGGCTCTTGTAACGGGTAAATTAAGCCATTTGCCAGCAGACACACATGAATCCGTGTGGCCGGACTTCCTCTTCAAGTAATGGTGTACAAATGACCTTTCCTTTCCCATCAGAAATGTTGGACATTCTAAGGATACTGGGTGATGAAGTAGAGGATGTTGTTTTAAAGAAGTATCCCTGAAGCTCCCATCCCTGCTCCCCCATGTCCAGATAAGATAACGTCTCCTTATCAACCTGGAAAGATGGCGATAAGGATATCGACCTTCCACACCGAATTTCAGGACGTCGTCTTCCAACAAAGCAGGCCATTTGACTCAAATTGAGACACTAATCACCTCGATGAGTGGCTAGCATTCCAGCGTCATGTCCTCAAATCCAATCTTGAGGTGGGGACTGGGCCTCTCAGCCGCCGCGGCCGTGGTCGCAATCGCCGTCGTGCGCCTTCAGCAGCCCCTCTTGGGCGACATCGATGACACCCAAACGTACTGCTACCAAGGCGTCCGTACACACGACGAGGACCAGCCGTCAGCCCAGTGCTTTACTGTGGCCGACGGCAAGTTCACCCGTGTGTTCCCGTGGGATGACGCAAGCTTAACCACAACGGCTGGTTTCGTTATTCCTGGTCTGTGGGATGGCCACGGCCACCTGAGTCAGTATGGCGAGTTTCTCTACTCGGCCGATCTTTTCGGAGCCTCTTCTTTGGATGATGTTCGGGGCCGTTTGAGAGACTACGTCGACAGCCGTCCCGATGCCGGCACCAAGAATGAATGGATTCGAGGAATTGGCTGGGATCAGTCGGCGTACGGCAGAATGCCGACCGCTGTGAGTTAACTTTGTCCCTATTTTTGCACTGACGTTCCTGATTCCCGATAAGGCAGATATTGAAGAGGACGAATCTCTCAAGGGCAAGTACTTCATGCTTGACCGGATAGATGTCCACTGTTCATGGGTGTCACAAGCGGTGCTCGATTTGTTGCCCGCAGATCTCCCAGATGTGCCTGGCGGTGAGATCGTTCGCGAGCCAGGCATGGGGGTCTTTTGTGACAACGCTATGGACCTGATTTACAACTTGTGGCCGAAGCCTGGAGCCGAGAAGAAGCGGGCCTTCATTGCAGCCGCCATGGCTAAGTTGAACGAGGTCGGTCTGGTTGGCATGCATGATGCCGGCGTCTTTCCGGAAGAGCTCGACCTGTACGCCGATATGGCAGGCACGGATGACTGGACCGTCCGCGTGTATGCAATGTTGGAATGTGCTCAGCGTAATACCTTTTGTCCCGAGGACGCTGCTCGGGTGTTCCGTGAGGATGACTCTTTCAGCGTCAAGTCCGTCAAGCTTTTTGCAGGTATGTTTTGTGAAATGTTTGACATGAAAAGGTCCACTGAGACTAACGTTCCCCAGATGGCGCTCTTGGAAGTTGGGGAAGTGCTATGATCGAACCATACAGTGATCGTCCCGATACCGCCGGCTCTCTTCTCGTCAACGGTTCGACCTTGAAGCAACTTGGAAGGTCCTGGGCATCCGTCGGATACCAGGTCAACATCCATGCTATCGGTGACCTGGCAAACCGCTACGCTGTCGACACCCTGGAGGCTGGCCTGCGAGACGTATGCCCCGATGAGGACCTTGCAGATTGCCAGGCTCGACGACGATTCCGCATCGAGCATTCGCAAATCATTCACGAGGATGACCAGAAGAGGATCCATGACATCGGCATTATCCCATCCATCCAACCGACACACGCGACCTCCGATATGAAGTACGCCGAACTACGACTTGGGGCAGAGCGCACCAAAAAAGAGGCTTACCGAATGCGGTCACTCCTGGACGTTCACCCGATCCTGGGCAGCGACTTTCCCGTCGAGCCGCCCAATCCCTTCCAGGGTATCTATGCTGCCGTCGCCCGCAAGAGCCCCCATACGGGTTATGGCGTCGATGGAAGCGAAGACGGCTGGCATACCGAGGAGGCTCTAAGTCTCGACGAAGCGCTGCTAGGCTTCACCAAGGGCCCGGCATACGGTGCCTTCATGGAAGGACGAGCCGGCCTCATTAGGGAGGGCGCACTGGCTGATTGGGTCGTGCTGGACCAGCCTCTGGAGGACTTTGACCTTGACGAGCTGCGGGAGCTTAAAGTCAAGGAGACCTGGGTGGGCGGCAAACAAGTCTACGCGCGGGACTACGAGTGACGGGCTACCAAGGTTCACGATGAATGATTTTTAAAGAGTTCTCTCGGCTTTGGTCCACGCTCACTTTGACATACTGAAGACCGCGATTGAAAGGGTATTTGCCCACGCCAATGACTTTTTATGCTTAAGAGATATGATTCCATCAACACAACTAAGACCAACCTGTGCTGTTTCCTCATTACATTCGCTTTAAGCGGACGGATGGCTTTGGCTGGCCTACTCGAAAGATAGAAAGGTAACCAGAGGCATTCGAGACGAAGTCGTCTAGGTTAGTACCCATCTTATCCCCCGCCCATCTCACGCTTGAGTATCGACAACAAGGCGCATTTATGACTTGACAACATCATATACCCTTCTATCATTTCCCGTTCTAAGACGTTTCTCTCCGGAGATTCTGGGAAAAGCTTCTTCACGACGGAAATGACAACTCTGCTATGATTTTGATCTTTGCTTCTATTATTAACTCTTCAAAGCAGAAATATCGACGGTCCTCAAACTTTGGTATATAAAAGATCATCAGAGAACCCTCCCCATCCACAACAAAATCGTCCAAGACGATACCGAGAAAGAGCCACGATGCCGTCGACGATGTCAACCCACAGCGCGACAGCCGCCAGAGCCTGGAGCATATGCATACTTGTATCCCTGATGCTCATGGTCTTCGCAATGACTTTTGGCGCCTCCATGGTGCAGGTTTCCGTCCAAGCATACCTGCGAGAGTCTGTCTGCCGACAACTCTACGGCTTCCCCCAGAAAGTCCCCGTCAACCACGTTGTATGTCACGCCGACGCCGTTAACAAGGAATTTGAGTGGACCGAGGTTATCGTCCTGGTCTGTCAGTCCGCCGGTGGCCTCCTGTCCGCCTACGCCATGGGCAAATGGGCCGACGTCAGGGGCCGGCGCGGGGCTTTTGTCTTGGGCGCCTGTATCTGGGGCCTCTTCTCCGGCATCCTCATCACAACCATTCAGACTTCATCACGCGGCGTCCTGTGCTTCCTCTTTTTCGTTATCGGCGTCGGAAAGACGTCCGCCGAGGTCGCTGTCTTGGCCATGACGAGCGACACCACAAACGACCGGCAGCGCTCGAAACACTTTGGCCTCGTGGTGTCTTCCGCCCTTGCCGGGCTAGTGGTCTCGAACATCATCCACAGATATGCTCCCCTCCTAGCCCTCGAATATTCGGCCCTGATCGGCTGCGTCGCCTTCTGCGTCGGCACCTGCTTCATCGTGGCGGTTCCTGAGCCCCTACGCACGCAGCTCGAGGACTTTAGAGGCGAGCCGCCCCCAGAGATCCTCCCAGCAAACCAAGCCACCAGGCCACTTCACCGCGTTCTCTCCGCTCTGAAAAGGTTTCGCGCCATGCCCCTCCTCGCCACCCTCGGCCTCGTCCTCGCGTTGGCGAAGACGGCACCGCCTTCTCTCGATATCTACTTCGTCACTAGGTATAGTCAGATCGCTCACTTCCCCTCCACGACGACTCTCCGCGGCGACGTCGTGAGCTACTGGGCCCCGCTCATCGCCATCGTCCTCATCACCTGCCTCCTCCTCCCCTCCATCTACGGCTGCTGCTCCCCATACCGCCGCCGTGTTCCGGGCGACCGCATCGCGCTGCGGGACTACCGCCACCTCCTCCTCTCGTCTGGCCTAGTTGTCCTCACCAGCACCGCCGCCCTGTACAGACACTACCTCTTCTTTCTCGTCGGCTCCCTCTCCGCCGCGGCCGTCGCGGCGACCCTCCCGGGCCAGTGCTGCTCCCTGATGCTGTACGGGCTCGGCGTGGCCGTGCGCGCAAAGTACGCCGGCCGGCTGTTCGGCCTCGCGGCGACGGCGGAGTGCGCGGTAACGCTGGTGCTCGGCCCGGCGATCGGTCTCGTCACGCGAGACTCACACTGGGGTGGCGTGGCGGTAGTGGTAGTCTTCTCCGCTTCGTTCATCGTCTTTGGGGCCGTGTGGCGCGCCGAGGCGGTTTGTCGGGCTCCTACGTACGAGAGGCCCGGCGCCGGGGGTGGTGGCGTTGAGGCTGGGATTGAGCTTTTGGATGTGGGAGGACTTGCGGCGCCTCCTCCGGCGTATGTGGCTCGTCAGGAAGATCAACCTGCTCCGATACCGATACCGGTACCGATAATACCTTAGATTCTGCCAAAGGTACGGAGAAGGATAACATTTCGGTTCTTGATCGGTATGGAAGGACCACACTGTTGAGGGTCCATTACGGGAAAGGGTAGATTGATGGAGAGATGTTCTTGAGGCCTGCATTGTGTAACTTTTGCAGCGTATGTTGCTTTGTGCGCCTGTTGTTTGACTTTGGTACGGGAGTACTCAAGTGTACCCTAGGCATGATAGCTATCGGGGGAGGTCGTGAGAAAGGCCGTCATCATTTGCGACGCGACCAATCTCTCTTGGAACAGCATACTGGCACCGGTCAGGCAACTTTTTATCAGATTGTGGCTCAAATCATTTTGCCTCCCCGAACAGTGAAGTTGGAGGGTAATAGTAGTATCATTACGTATATAGACCGATGGAACCAATGTATTTTAGCCTCCTGTGCCTCTCTCATGCTTGAGAAAGTCTTAAACCCCCCTTTCGCATGACCTGAAGTTCTACAAGGGTTGAGAAACGCGCGACTCTTGTATTGCCGGTTACTAGAGAAGCGTTTGTATGCCAGAACAGAAATTCTCTATGAGGCCTGCTACGGCCAACAAGACTTGATAAGAAAGACTTGTCTTGTTTTCCGAAAAGGTTAAGCCTCAGTCTGCTCTTCAGGCTCCGTGAGCGGTTTCTGTCCGTACACAACGTCGCTGTTTGACGACGAAATTAGCATCCCGTCTTTGGAGCGGCCACTGGCCTTGGACCTGCCCAGAAAGCATCCCAAAAGAAGGAGCAGACTCACAATTCAACCAAAGCGTGGAAGACGGGTGGATTGGCCTTCAACTCGTTCCTCACGCCCATGATCTCCACTTCGACATCCTCCTCCGTCCGCCCGAGGACTTCGGTAAACATCTTCATGGAAAATCCCTCCAGACCATCAATGGTCAGGACCAGATTCATCATGCCCAGGTCCTTGTAGTGCCAGTCCTTGGCCCACGGCGTCAGCGGCGCCTTGTACTTCTGCGCCGTGACGTTAATGAAGCCCGCCTCCCGGACGCGGCCCTCGTGCCCCGGACCGGGGGTCGGGTCGCGTCCGACGGCCCGGATGGCGCCCAGGAAAGCCTGGTTCCACTTGTACGTGGCGTGGTCTTTTGTGTAGCTGCCGTCCTCGGAGTAGAATTCCGGGTTCATATCGAGGAACTCGACCCAGCCGCCCGGGTTGAGGTGGCTGGATTTTTGAGCAGTCGTTGTCAGTATCAGTACCCAGTGCGCATGTCCTGCTCGGGAATGGGGCAGGGAATGGAGAGGTGGGGTTTTACTTGTAAATGTTGCGAACCAGCTTGGGCCAGTCCATGATTGAGGCTGTCATGTATCGGCACATGATGAAGTCGTACTTTTTGGCCTCGACCCAGGGGCTCTCGACGTCGTCGATCTCGAACCTGACGTTAGGAGGAACCCTTTTCATTCCGTCAGCCATAGTCAAACAATTAGCGCCCGAAAAAAGAAAACCGACCATTGGGGCTGAATGGCGCTCAAGTCATTCCCGTAAACCTATGCCACAACATTAGCCTTCACCATCGGTGAGGGGGACGGACACACATGGCAGCCTAGCTTACCTCGGCGCGTTCAAAGATGTCGCCCATTTCAACAGCCCCTGTAAAGATTTTGTTGTGTCAACTCCGACCCTTTCCACAACAAAGTTTTTTTTGGAATGGGTTTCCTCATACAAAGTCCAGTGCCCGTTCCGATATCAAGGATCGATTGGATCTTGTCCCAATCGAGAGGAGCATGGAAGAGCTTGCTGCCCGTTGCCTTGACAATCATCACATGGGCGAGATCAAGTCGGTCCATCTCCTTCTAAAAGGTTTTTAGACTTATTAACCATCTGGCTTTCGACTTGATGATGAGAGGCTCGTAACAAACCTCGTCATTGGGGAACTTGTAAGCTGAAATCTCATGTCAGATCTTGCCGAGAAGAGAGCAAGGTAGCGGGGGAAGAGGTTGAAGGACGTACTGCCCGGCCTGTAAGCGTGATACCGTCGTCCATACTCCACGGGGTAATCAACAACGCTTGATGATAGCGAGGCGGTGAAATTGGAACTGGAAGCATGAGTGTTTGGTCAGCACCGGACGTTGATCACTCCGTCATCGTACGGGGGCATCGTACATGCGCTCATCAATTGAGGAGGTATCGTCAGTTGTCTAGCGGTTTTCCATGTCAGCGATGCAATTATCAGTCACTAACAAACCCACAACAGGTCACCAACATTGCCTTCTTCCTCGGGCTCAAGAGGCGCCGTTGCGGTGGGGGTTGGCGTTTGTGCCGTTGTCGTCGCTGGGCTCTCGGCCTGTACGGCCGCTGCAGGTGAATCTGCCGTCGTCGTCGCGCTCTCGGCCGGCACGGCGGCTGGAGGTGAACTGGCCATTTCTGTTTCCCGGTTGCTTTCCTCAGCGTACCAATCAATTTAACTTGGAGCCGAAGATAGAATAAGAAAAAACAGAGTCTTGACAAAGAAACAGAAAGAGCAAATGGCGATACGCAAAGCTTCAATAGCATACACTCTCTAAGAACAGGACTGAAGGAGGGAAGGGGGTGTTTTTGTAGGCATCTGAGCCGGTCTCCATAGTTGGGCGACATGGGTTTGATGAAATGAAATAAAGCTGCGGCAGGCTGCAGAATCACCAGAACCAACAGAGCGCAGCTTGAAGGCCCAATTGGCTCTGCTCCGACTTCTCATTCGCATGTATATGCAAGTCAAATGTTGGTTGACGCGTCTTGTCGTCCAACATCCGACCCATTGCATGTTTGCCAACGCCCTCCCCTCCCCTCCCCCCTCTCTCTTCCGCCTAGATGGGAAGGCGGTTGTGCCATCCTTGCGTTGATAAATGCATGCGCTCTATTGTCAATCCCCGGCGTTGGGCATTGTTTGCTTCGCAAATTTTCGGACATGGTGCAGCTGCTTCTTTATCGAGTCCCTAGGGTAGTCAGACTTGGGAGGGACCCATGCATACTTTTGTCCTTGGTTTCCCAATGTTTGACTTCGACTCCATAGTGGCCGGCGACATCCCGTCAACGAGACCAGTCGGTGCAGCGTAGAACGTAAAAACAGTCCTGTCTACGACTTGACAGACAAGCAACACTCAAACTTTCCCCCAACTCACCGAGTACACACCCCCACTAAGCTCACAGAGACCACATAATCATCGCCACAGAAGCAGCTACTAAGGCTCTCTCTTCTAGGCCCAAGGTAGGTCTCGTTCCCCATCTCTGCCCCCTTCCCTCCCATCTTCGGAAACAGAAAAGGAGTAAATGCCCAACCACGTCTCACGCCGTACATTGATTGAATAAATCACACAAAGGTACTCTGTACTACAAGAACAAGACTCAGATGCTCTGACAAGCTTTCTCTTCGCCGTATTGAACGTGGGGTACGGAGCTGGCTGAGGAGATGTGAAATGAAGGAAGGTGGACACGGCCTATATCCCTCAAAGTTTATAATCGATAGTCAAATATGGGCAGTGCGACTTACACCAGCAGCAGAAAGCAACACCATACACTTTTACCTTTGACCGCTTCTCGTCGTCCGGCTGCTGAATCTACTTGACGGAATGCGGTCTGAGACGGGAGGGGAATGGAAGGCAGCAAGACACTAATATAGATATACTCGGAGGCATCAAACCATGTCCATGTGTTGTTGTCTTCACCGACCAAAACCATGTTCGAGATCAATGAAAGACCTAACTTCTGTATCCCAAAAGAGATTCAAACCAACGATGGGTTGAAGAGGAGCAACTGTGTTGAGAACTGCGGATCCAATTTTATACCAACTACTTACAGCGAAGGCAGAAACAAAAAAGCAGATATTACCAACTTACTTGGTCACTCTGTCGCCCCTGCGAACTAATAAGCCGCGTCAACTATTGACTATCAGGTTTCCAAGGTATTGTTAGTCTCCAGTTGGTCATGGGAAATGAACTCGCTTGGTGTCGTGAACAAATCAAGGCAAAGATCATAGCATGAAGAGCTTATATCTGATCGTGACTCAAGGGGTCCATTGTACAGATTGCAATGTATGAAACATCTCCGACACTCTTGCCTTCATCGGCTCACAGTCAGTCCTCTTCGAGAAAGGCAGACATGTTGTCAAGACAACTCGTCATGTCCACTTACTTTATAGAAATGGACATTAAAATGATGTCAGCATACATCAACCACTGGGGAAATATGAAACTTGAGAATGTGTGAGTCACTGATATAAATCGCGGTATGGAGAGTAGCTTCCGTAAGATAGTGGATGAATTGTCTCATTTCTATTCAATGGACATATCGGTAAAGGCGTGAATGGGTCGACATAAACCCCTATCTTCATTCCATAACCCTTCCATAAGTAAAAGGTAAATATCCACGACGCCATTGCCTATCCATAACAATCCTGCCCATCCAAAGTCGTCCCTCGGTCTGGTCCCGTAGGCCTGTTCTGACCGGGTCGTCTAACAAAAGGTAGATACGAGAAAGAAACATGGGAGGTCGTCCCTGATATATAGGCAAGTAAATAGTTGTAAATAAATCGTGATCAGGGCCGACGCCCATCATATGGTGTTTTTTGTTTTTTTTTTCATTGCTTTTCATCTTTTCTTAATCTTTCGTGGCGTGTTCATCGCCGAAGGGACTACGTCCTCTCTCGTAAGAACTTGTCCTTTGAGACCGTCTGTCGGGGCCGGCGGCGGCTCGCCTTGTTGCCTCTTCAATCACGGCACTTAGACTGTGGTTGCTGCGAACAGCTGCTGGGGATGGCTCAGGAGGGTCGGAGAAGGGGCCCTGGTCGACTGCCGGGCTTTCATCGATAACCGTCACGGCAGCCGATTCGCGGGCGGCCGCCGTGGTGCTAGGTGGCAGAGGTGTGCCTGGTGCCGAGATCTCTTCTGATGTTGATGATGCCTTGGATCCAACGCTAACTTGCTTAGGGCCGTTGCCGTTGCCTACACGGACAACCTGCACTCTCTGGACGGGGGCGGCGGTGGCGGTGTTGGCGTTGTTCAGGAAGGTAGATCCGACGCTGAATGTGCTGTCACGGCTCTTGGGACGGCCAGGAGCGTATTTTTCATAATCGACGCTGGGGACGGGAGGAGTGCTACTGCCGTTGGTGCCGACACCCATAGACTTGACACTGACCACAGCGGCCTTGGCGCGCATACCAGTCTGAGCGGGTGCTACAACAACAGCATTCTTGCCGTAGATGGTGGAAGCGATACTGGGAGCGATGCTAGATCGAGGAGCGTACGAGGTTCTCGCGACAGACGTGCGGTCAGAGTAGCCAGAGATGCCGGAGTAGGTGGAGTCGCGCAATTCGCCAGGGACGAAGAAGTGTTGCTCCTCGTACGGTGACGGGCTGCTTGCAGCAGAGTTGGAGGCGTGCATCGGGATAGGGGGAACGGGAGGGACGAGCAGAGTTGGTGACGTGGGAGTGGCTCGGTTTGTGACGCCGGGGATGTAGGCGATCTGGATTATGTTGGAAGCGCGAGTGAGTACTGTTGATGCAATCGAGTGAACTGTGTGTGTTGAGTCGCGGTTGGTTTGTCGTGGCTCGCCAGTGCTCTTCTCGTTGATCGTCTTCTCGTGGGTCGTCTCTGCATAGGACTCTTGGATGATTGACTGTCTCTTGGTCTTGATGAAGAACCTCCAGACAAGGTATGTGGCGATTGCGATGACGACGAGACCGCCAATAACACCGCCGACGATGGCACCCGTGTTGGGCTTGCTGCTTGATGAGGATGATGATTTGCTGTCGTCCTTGGCGCAGATGGCCTGGGCACAGGTGCTACATGTCGGGATGGTGAAGGAGCAGAACTCGTCGGACTTGCAGTTGGTAGGGCATGTCGGTGCCTTGTCCTCACACTTGAGGCAACCGTTCTGTCTGGGCAGGATGACTATGGAGGTCATGTCAGCAAATGAGATTCAATAGGGGGCGACGGTGATGTCTGGTGACGCACCAGCTTCCAGCTCCTCGAGCGAACGGAGGTGAAGGTTAGGGTCGAATTGAGCCATGATGATGAAGAACAAAATGGCCTGGGGATGAAGTGAGAAAACAATAGCCAGCGACGCTGATCGAGCGATGCCGATCGACGAAGCGAGACCGTTAGGCGTAGAAGGTGTCGATCAAATCGGAGGGGGTGATCAGACGGTCGAGGCGAGTGGACCGTTGGTCGGTACCAGGGAAACCGCGAGTTGGGGAAAGGGCAGTAGATATAGCGAATGGATAGAAAAACCGTCGGGTAGATGAGACAAGTCGCAGTGTGCTAGGGGTTACGGATACACGTTGAGGAATGGATTCGTGGCGAGGCGAGGCTGGCGTGTGGGCGTTTGCTGGACTGGAATGGACGGGTCGATGTGCGAAGTGCGAGGGAATTCGGAGCGGATAGAGTGAGAGCGAATGAGTAGTAGTAGTAGTAGTAGTAGTAGTAGTATAGTAGTAGTTGGGATAACGAGTGGACGAAGAGACTAGCTCGGCATTTGAGGTGGTGGAAAAAAGAGGCGACTAGGCGATTGAAGTGAAAGACATCAACGGCGGTTTGTCGTTTGTCGGCCGCAAGTCGACGTCGACGGGTTGACGGGGCTTGAATGTCTTTTGTCGTCGACGGGATCTTGTCTTGGTGGGCGGCGACGGAGAACCTGGAGATGTTGGGTGGAGGAAAAGACGGAGGTGGGAATGGGCTGCTATGAAGAAAACGAAAGTGAGCAGAGAGAGAGAGAGAGAAGCAGGCAAAGACAGACCGGCGCTGGGCTGGTCTTGGCTCGACTTGGCTTGGCTCGCGCTGACTGGATCGACTGGGGGGGGGGGGTCGAAGTGAAGGGAACGAACGGGATGGAGAGGGGGAGGGATGGGATGAGATGGGTGGAAGGATGGCAGATGGATGGGGGAGATGGGCTGCGTCCTGCTTGGGTTTGGTGCTGGTTCTTCACGGGCGTTCGGCGGCAGGCGGAGCGCAAGCTGAAAGGAGAGACGGGAGAACCAAGGACGAACACCAACAGTGGAGAGAGTGGAGGTACATGCTCTGGTACCTTGCCTTAGGTAAGTACGGAGCACATAGATACGTATCTTTTAATGAGGGAAAGAGGTGGACTGGCACGACTTTCCGGTTGGAAAAGGCGCAGGTGGGAGGAAGGCAAGAGGGGAGGGGGAAAGCGAATCTGCGGGACACAGGCACGAGATTGAAGAGGCAGGGGTCATGCTGTTAGCGAAACGTGAGAACCGGGGCAACTTCCTGCTCTGATTGGTCGTAATCCTCAGATGGCAAGAGCAAAAGGGGGGCACTGCTCGCTTGTGGATCCCTTGATTCCCCCGACACCCCTGGCTAAGGTAGAGCCGGGCGAGGGTCCAAGACTCCCAGGGCAAGGCCTAGAGTCTGGACTGTGCAGCCCGCTCAT